TCAAATACTGACAACACTAAGAGAGAACATCCACACTCGCCGGCAGCACAATCTTCAATCGTCAAAGCATTCAGCGTCTTTCACCTCTGCATGTCTTCGGCTGGTGGCATGTTGGCCACCACCTACGTACGCTGCTTATGTTCTAACCCGCCACGGATATCATCTCGTACATATTACTCTCAACAGGGGGGGGGGGGCAACTTGCACGGTCAGACTCAGTGACATCATGCTAGCGGATCCGACAGTTGTTGCTGCTCGTGATGATATCTTCTTATATATTGTCACAGACACGATTCACACGCGACAGCAGTCTTCGGCACGACTTTACCTACGGCGTCGAGCAGCCGCAACACCAAGAATTCATCTGGAATATCTGAATGTTGGTGTCTAGGTATTAGACGTGGTGGAACAATAATGAAGGGCGGTCAGCGTACAACAGAGCGAGTATTGAGTGTGACTACGGACAGGCTGGTCACGCAAAGTGCACAATAGCAAAATAGCAAACTAGCACAGCTAGTAAGCTGAAAGGCATCTGTTAAAGAAGGTAGTGAGGCACGAGAGACGAAAAAGAAGAGCCCCCACGCGGGATCGAACCACCGACCTCTTCGCTTACGAAGCGAGTGCTCTACCACTGAGCTATAGGGGCGTACAAAGAGACACATTCACAGCACGAGCACCACATACACCACAATATAAGCATACGCACGAACATGCATACATCGCACTCACCGTCCATGCATACACCATACGTCAACTACTACATCACCGCCAACTCAGCGCATGCCACATTGCCACATCAACTCCTTTCCTTAAAGCTGCTGCGACGCATCGGTAAGGGCTCCGCCACTTCAAACGACGCTTCGATGAGCGGAGATATGTGTGCGAGGTGCTCGTGACGTGGTTTCGTCGTAAAAGTAAAGAAGGGTGAGATGTGGCGGGGTGAGTGGGTAGAAATTGTGGATCTCGTAATGCGTATCGGTGTGTGGATGGAGTCTGCATGTGTGGACATTGGGTTTTGGTATCGGGGGAATAGCTCAGTGGTAGAGCGCTGGATTCCAGTCCCAGCGGTCGGGGGTTCGATCCCCTCTTCCCTCATGCTTTAAGCTTTTGCGCGTCCTTCGTTTCTCTGTCCGTTTTCCCACCTTAACAGCCGCACAGTTACAATGCTCACTATCAGCCGAGCACACGACCACGCCACCAAGCAAAAAGTGCGATACTTCTCGATTTATGCGTGTCATCCTTGCGCAGGGGCCATGCTAATCTTCTCTGTATCGTTCCAATTTTTACGGATGACCACCGAAGTGGTTCCTACCACACGCCTCGCGTCACCGACATATAGCTGCTAGCCTTGGGCCTCACATCCAGAACCACTTTCGTCGAAAAGGGAAGGACTACCAGCCCAGTCCGTGCATCCACCAGCATTTTCAGATTAGTTTTTGCTACTGCGAGTCTGCTGAGGTAAAGGAAAACGACAGCTGTGAGATTCGAACTCACGCGGGATGCCCATTAACTTAGCAGGCTAACGCCTTAACCACTCGGCCAAGCTGTCATCGCTATGCAACAAAAACATAGATATCGACTCCCACCCTCATCAGATTCAAATCAACCAAACCAAACTCACGACCACCCCGCACATACCGTCACGACCTGTGCTACCACCCATAGATACAGCGCATACCGCACGCCTTTATCAAATACTGACAACACTAAGAGAGAACATCCACACTCGCCGGCAGCACAATCTTCAATCGTCAAAGCATTCAGCGTCTTTCACCTCTGCATGTCTTCGGCTGGTGGCATGTTGGCCACCACCTACGTACGCTGCTTATGTTCTACCCGCCACGGATATCATCTCGTACATAATACTCTCAACAGGGGGGGGGGCAACTTGCACGGTCAGACTCAGTGACATCATGCTAGCGGATCCGACAGTTGTTGCAGCTCGTAATGATATCTTCTTATATATTTTCACAGACACGATTCACACGCGACAGCGGTCTTCGGCACGACTTTACCTACGGCGTCGAGCAGCCGCAACACCAAGAATTCATCTGGAAGATCTGAATGTTGGTGTCTAGGTACTAGATGTGGTGGAACAATAATGAAGAGCGGTCAGCGTACAACAGAGCGAGTATTGAGTGTGGCTACGGACAGGCTGGTCACGCAAAGTGCACAATAACATACTAGCAAACTAGCAAGCTAGTAAGCTGAAGGCATCGGTAAGGAAAGTAGTGAGGCAGAAGAGGCAAAAGAAGAGCCCCCAGGCGGGGATCGAACCACCGACCTTTCGCTTACGAAGCGAGTGCTCTACCACTGAGCTATAGGGGCTTACGGACCTCGACTCCAAGAGACATATTCACAGCACGAGCACCACATACACCACCATAAAAACATACGCACGAACATGCATACATCGCACTCACGGTCCATGCATACACCATACGTCAACTACTACATCACCGCCAACTCAGCGCATGCCACATTGCCACATCAACTCCTTTCCTTAAAGCTGCTGCGACGCATCGGTAAGGGCTCCGCCACTTCAAACGACGCTTCGATGAGCGGAGATATGTGGGCGAGGTGCTCGTGACGTGGTTTCGTCGTAGAAGTAAAGAAGGGTGAGATGTGGCGGGGTGAGTGGGTAGAAATTGTGGATCTCGTAATGCGTATCGGTGTGTGGATGGAGTCTGCATGTGTGGACATTGGGTTTTGGTATCGGGGGAATAGCTCAGTGGTAGAGCGCTGGATTCCAGTCCCAGCGGTCGATCCCCTCTTCCCTCATGCATTAAGCTTTTGCGCGTCCTTCGTTTCTCTGTCCGTTTTCCCACCTTAACAGCCGCACAGTTACAATGCTCACTATCAGCCGAGCACACGACCACGCCACCAAGCAAAAAGTGCGATACTTCTCGATTTATGCGTGTCATCCTTGCGCAGGGGCCATGCTAATCTTCTCTGTATCGTTCCAATTTTTACGGATGACCACCGAAGTGGTTCCTACCACACGCCTCGCGTCACCGACATATAGCTGCTAGCCTTGGGCCTCACATCCAGAACCACTTTCGTCGAAAAGGGAAGGACTACCAGCCCAGTCCGTGCATCCACCAGCATTTTCAGATTAGTTTTTGCTACTGCGAGTCTGCTGAGGTAAAGGAAAACGACAGCTGTGAGATTCGAACTCACGCGGGTTGCCCCATTAACTTAGCAGGCTAACGCCTTAACCACTCGGCCAAGCTGTCATCGTTATGCAACAAAAAACATAGATATCCACTCCCACCCTCATCAGATTCAAATCAACCAAACCAAACTCACGACCACCCCGCACATACCGTCACGACCTGTGCTACCACCCATAGATACAGCGCATACCGCACGCCTTTATCAAATACTGACAACACTAAGAGAGAACATCCACACTCGCCGGCAGCACAATCTTCAATCGTCAAAGCATTCAGCGTCTTTCACCTCTGCATGTCTTCGGCTGGTGGCATGTTGGCCACCACCTACGTACGCTGCTTATGTTCTAACCCGCCACGGATATCATCTCGTACATAATACTCTCAACAGGGGGGGGCAACTTGCACGGTCAGACTCAGTGACATCATGCTAGCGGATCCGACAGTTGTTGCTGCTCGTGATGATATCTTCTTATATATTGTCACAGACACGATTCACACGCGACAGCAGTCTTCGGCACGACTTTACCTACGGCGTCGAGCAGCCGCAACACCAAGAATTCATCTGGAAGATCTGATTCCTGTACTTTCATAAGTAATATATTGAGTTTCGCGTCAATTCGTAAGCGCTGACCACTTACCTTTTATCAAAAAGAAATATTCTTACTCGTATTTTGACAAAGGCTCACTATACAACGCCTTGCCATCCCGAGTATCCAACAAATCGTAAGTGGAATCGTCTTACGATTATACGCTGTTCCAATTGGCCAAAAAATGATTTAAAACTACCCAGAAGCCACTGTAAAATGAGTGAAGGAAGCGCACAACAGACCAGCGAAAGCGCGGCCTGCGGTATGGCTGTAGCTGACGTGGAGGCAATCCGAGATGCCTGCGTTACCAAGGAAACACGAGGGAAGTACAAGAGTAGCTTGAACGGCATTGCAAAGTGGATTCGCAAGGAGCTTGCTAAAGTCGACCACAACACGGATCGATTCTTCGACAGCAATGGTGAACTTAATCTATTGGAGTTCACGCCTCCGTATTTTGAGCAGTTTCTTGTTTACAAAAGCCGTGATGTGAAAGCTGGGACACTAAGTGGTTATCGGAGTGCAATTAAGGACCTGTATAGAGTGAGGCGTCTAGCTTTGCCGCCTGAATATGGAGATGGAATGAAACAGCTTTTCTCGGGAATGAAGCGCATGGAGGCTGATAGTGACCAGATTAGTAACCCGAAGACGTCCGGGAAGCAGCCATTGACCTACTCGCTTTACCAGAAGCTCTGTAAAGAAACTTTGGAACTTGGTGATGGAGGTTTTTCTCATCTCTTCCTAATATCCCAATGGAATTTAATGTGCAGATCAATATCTGTTCAAACCGTACAAACTCAGCATTTTGTGGCTAAAGACGATGGCATTGGTGTAATATTTGTCAAGACAAAAACGAATCA